AAAAGTGGTTAGACTTCGAATTCGTCAAACAGTGGAATAGATAGCGAATGAAATAAAAAAGCAGCCCGAATTACGCTTATACCAGAAACATGCACAACATCTACCACCAACAAAACCGGCCTTAAAGTCGAGAAATTCTGATGAACATGAAACCGTTTAATTTTGATCTTCAACAACTTACGTACATGGCTTCATAATCCATACTGTCTTAAATCATTTTACCCATGTTCATTTGCGCCTAACTAATAAGCCTAATCCTTCTTATTTTTTTTGTTTTTATGCAATTTTACTTGCACACACATATATATATATATAATTCTACCCCCTAATTTTCAATTTAATACTTATTTGCATGACGTTCATGGTCTGATAATATAAATGATAGATTCTGAGAAATATAACTTAGGTATGCAAAGTAAATTTACAAGGGTAATCTTAATAACGATCAGTCACCAATAACTGAAAATATTTTCATATCTATAAATCTGTAACAACTTCAATATATGCTTAAAACTAATGTACTATATGACGACCTGCATTTCCGATAATATGCTTTTTAGAAATGAAAAATACTGACTAAACACTATCACAATCCATAATAAGCTATACTGTGTTCATATCTCTTGTTCCACCACTATGCCCTTTAAGCTGAAATAATGCTTAAAAGTATGTTATATATTTGCATTAATAATAACTTATGTCATTTTTAGGTTGTTAGCAGTTGAAAAAAAGCTGTGGAAAACACGTGACCTCTTCTTATCCTTCAAGTATATTTTTTCTTGCTTTGTTTGAACTAATCATGGGGATTGGTTGTATGTAATACTTTCAAAGATACACAAAAGGATGGCCTCACTCCAGAATGATGGTAGACCCAATCTGCAATACTTTCTTGAACAATCGGAGCAGTTTTCTGATAGAAGTCTCATCGGTGGTAATTTCAAGAATCAAGTAACTTATTAAAACGGTAGAAGACGGAGACTTGGTAAAGGATTGTTTATTCGGAAATTGTTACCTCTATATAGCCAAATTATAAATACCTTATCCTCAACACACAGTTTGCACATATCTGCGTGTTGTGGTACTTTTCAACTTCATTTGTGTTCTTTTAACGTCTCCCATATATCTCCACAACTCTGTGTCATTTGCTTTCTTGGACATCAAATCTATCTCCCTAATATTTGATGATTTTATGCCAATGAACGTCTCTTCATATACTACTGACAAATCTTATCAGTAGTACTCGCCACATTATGACGCTTCAATGTTTTGAGTTCTTCTCGAATCTTCCCCCCTCTTATGCGTATCGAATAGGCTGGAATAGATTCTAGTTATCGTCAGATACTGATGCTCGCTTGTTCTGACCACCATAACGGTCTTAGGTATTCGATGTGCAATTTTCCACTTTAGAGCATTACATGGGATATCAAAGTGGCTATCCACTAAAGAGTGGTGACTGGTATCAAGAAGTTGCAGGTAATTGGCTCAAGCCACACAACGAAGCCTGATTACAGAGAAATCAAGTACTCCAAAAACAGACACATCTGTAGATAACTGAAATGTGGTCTATATAAGTCTATGGTTCAAATGAGTCCAGATGCCAGTCTCGTGAGTTTAAGTCTCCAGTTAACACTACGGATATTTACTGAGCGAACTTTTTCGGGAAGGGTACTTAGGACTAAATCTTATTTGCAATCCTTAAAAACACATGGACATAGCTTCATATTGTGGTGAGAGCTGTCTACTAGCCAAATTGGTAAACAGTAATTTACGTCAAGATTTGTCGTGAGAAAATGTGAACAAAGATTGATTCAAAACCGACCACAGCAGACTTTGCGTAGGCGGATGCAGTTAACATATAGATGATCTGACATTCAAGAAACAGTCACAAATAGATGAAAGATTAACTTTACATGAGAAACAACCAATCGGAAGACTGTGTTTGTTTGTTTAAATATCCATAGTAATGTACATGAAATATATAAATATGCGTTGATTTCCTTAATAAATGATCTGTTGCCTGACTCTTGCCTTCTGTCGTTACAATATCACATACTTTCTACTCTAGCCAAAGTTTCTACCCAAACCATATACCAAAGACTACCAAAAACAGTCAAATCCAATTGTTCAGCTCCACCTCTAGTGCTTAGTGTCACATCGATGAGGGGACTCTGATAAACACGTACGTCAAGTACTTCTAAACTTCACAGGTACAGAAGCTGTTCGCGATACTTCACCATGATCTCGTATGTGTATCCATGAAATGTCGCATGCCTACATCAATAGAGAAGCATTCTAGTATATCCTAGCTAAAACATGACTCGTAAATTGGCAGAATGTATCAACCAGGAGCTAATGGATTTCGTATCGGTGGCTGAATACTCAGTAGGCTCGCCTCCTAAGCTGATGTCCCTGAGTTCGATCGCCAAACTAGAACGATACAGTTGCCAAGTACTCCCTAATCTTCAACTACCCCCCCCCCAACTGAAGTCAGTTCGTGATCTAACCTAAAAGTTGACGTGCGACATCTAAATAGACAAATTACGTGTCCTGCTGAAGGGCTGCTACGTGAAAACGGCCATTCAACACATCGAAACAACACAGTAAAATCAAAATCTTAGACTATGACGAACAACTGAAATAAGGTGAAAACAAGAAAAATGACAACAGCAGACCAATACACTTCATACATAAAGAAAATAACGACATAAAAAAATAATCTAGGTAAACAAGTGCACATCCCGCAATAAGAAAAAGGTGAATGTTCCTGAAGTTTGTCCTAACCTGTAAAATCTCTATTACAATTGTTTTACAATATTTTGTGTGAGAGCTCAGTTACTACCCGGAGATTTAAACTGAAGAGAACAAGTCATCCAGCATTTGACCTACAGTTTAATCCATAGAGCAGTGCTACATTGCTGCACTCTGAGTGACTTTCGTACTATTGGAGTAGACGATGAAAGTTTATAACAGCATGTTAAAACAATACAATTTCCGTGGCCACAGCTTATGAGTAATCCATAAAAAAATGATTTTCCCAGCATCTAGAGAGTCCCAGTAATTTCCTTGCACATCTCATTTCTAAAATATAGTTTGACGGCGAAATCAAATTATTATCACTATATTATTGTTTCCTTTAATTCCTAGAGGAACATAGGGCTTCAGCAGCACGTCTCCATTGCGTTCGGTTCTCTACCAACGTTTTCACCTGGCTCCACGTCTGTCCACATACTTTCATCTTCCCTCCACATGACCTCCTCCATGTCAATCTCACACTGACGACCAACTCGCCACTTCCCGTTCGGGTTCCACTCGAGTGATGGCCTGGCGTGTGATGTTACTTGATGGTTGGTTTTCTCAGAGTATGGCCAATCCACCTCCATTTCTTCCTGCCTATTTGTTGCACAATCGCTTCCCAGAGATCCCTGTTGCTAAACTTTTCTGGCCATCTGATCTTGAGTATTAAGCGAAGACAGCTGTTGATGAAGGTCTGTAGTTTGTCCGAAGTGCCCTACGTGACGCGCCAAGTCTCTGATCCGTGTAGTAGAACTGACTTCACATTGGAGTTGAAAATCCGAATCTTATTTTCCATGCTGATTGCTGTTGATCCTCACACAGACTTGAGAGTAATGAAAGCTTGCCTTGCTTTCCCGATCCTCGCTTGAAATCAAAATTGCATGATATCAAATTATTACTTAATACATAAGACAAGTAAAATAATCTTAATTTCAGACCAATTCGACTTCAACATCTGAAACTGTCAACCGAGTCCACAATAATGACTGTTATAATCGAGATAACTTCAAAACCGATAAGATTTCATTATACTTCATACTTCAAATTGAAGTATGCGCTGAAGACGTTGCCTAGTAGGGCAATGAAAGCTTCGCAAATAAACTATCCAGCTCAGAGAACACAACCACATCAAAAAGATTTCATTATCCAAATCATGAAAGAAAAAGACAGCTAAATGATTAGAATAGGAAGTGGATGAAGGCGTTAGACAGTAAGCGAACACACACAAAAGTGTACATACTTATCGGACAAATGAACGTTGAACATTGTAAAGACAGAGACATAGCAAGCAATGTATATTACAAAAGCACAACAGACAATAGTAAAAAAAACCATTAGAAATAAAAATACAATTCATTCAGCCATTATAAGGAAGATTCACAAACAGTATGATAACTGCACTATAATATCAAACGTTTTGAATTCAAAAATAGTTAGCCCTACAATATCAAATTGACAGATGACCCTGAATGGCCAGAATTTTAAGCGAAAAAAATTCAAGATATTACATGAAAACGTTTTATAGCAGTACACGATGGATAGTCTAAGAAAAGAGTAAGGGTTTCATTGAATATTCTGATAAGCTTCGTGCCTGCATAAGATATTCCTATTGGCTGGGAAATAAGTTGACAAAGTATGCACAATAAGCAACTGTCAAGCGAATTAACTAAGGGCATATTTTACTAAACATGAAGTGTTATTATCAATCATATGATATTACTTGTTCATCCGAGTATATTCTTGGAAATCAACATCCGCTGCATACTCTTCGAAGTGGTTTTTTGCCGAAATTACCTAACCTTATAAGAAAGTGATTCACTGTGTTCAGTGTCCAAGCAAAATGGATCCTGGAATAAAGGAGGTTACTATCACATTCATTATATCTTATAGGACTGAGAATGAATAAAATGATTGTACAGCGATCCCTTTTAAAAAATCCTTTCTCTTGATATTATGTGTGGAGAAAAAAAAAGTAATCACATATATAAAAGGAAACAAGTATTAAATGATTAAGACAATTTAGAAAATAAGCAATAATCTATAAATTAAAATAATATTAGTAATAATAGTAGTAGTAACAGTAAACATCACAGAAGGAGAAATCCAAAACACAAAGAAAACCTGCAAAAATGCACTAGATAAATGTATTTTGATTGCATTAAACAAAATAAATAATCTAATGTGGAACAGAAAGTCAAACGTATACCTCATAATGTAGTCAATTTATGAATACAAAAGCTGATTGCTGCTTCAATATCATAAAACACAGGGATATTCAACTCTTCAGCTAAATCAATTAAATACATACGAACACGATTATAATCATTGACAGCTTGCTGTGAAAGTGATATCGATGAATTGTGAACAGTTATAATATTGGCTGATGAATGAGTGTTGTTCATATGTACATTAGCATTAGCTTGGAATGATAGAATTTCAGATGATTTTACATTTGAACAATTCAAATTATTACTATTACTAGAATGTTTAGTCGATTTATAGATATCACGAATAATTCCAAACTCTAGAGAACTTGATCTTTGTGATAACTCCTCTTCGGATAGAGATGAATTTGTGCCTGTAAAATCACTTGAAGCACCACTACTACTGCTGCTGCTAGTAGTGCTACTCTTTATTTTCATATCTATTAAACTGTTCATCTATAATTAATTTATTCTATATAAGTATTAAATTAAAAAATAAACCTACCGGGAGTTGTTGAGTTTTAAAATCATTGGAGATGAATTCATGCAGAGAATTAGGCTTGGAGTTTTCAAGAGGAATTTCACAGCCACTAGAAGAATTGAACATTTGTACAAAAAGGACGACTGGCAAATGACATCCCATTGAATAAACCGCCTAAAGGTAAAATTAGGGATACAACACAAATTGGGAAAATAGTAAAGTTTCTCACGTTTTACTTTGAGTTATGGTGTCCGAAGCGCTCTTCGTATCCACGATCATAAGCTGAACATCGAAAGACATCACCTGTATTCTTTCATATCAATTCATGTAGACAACTATGGACACCATTGTGGGCATTTCGGACAGAAGAAATATTAAGAATGCCAGGAAATTAATAGCATTAGTACTAGGGTCAATATGAACCCATGCTGATACAGACTTCACAGACTGTTGCTCGTTTTACATAACTGACTTAATGAAAACACTATACGCGTACATTAACACAAGATCGGATGAATATCTTTCACAAAAAACATGATTTATATTCCTGCAGTTTACTGATGCTTCCAGTCAATCTAGCATAAATAATGTCTCGTCAATATTGAGTCAGTATCACAATGAAAATCCATTTCTACAAGACTAACCCAATCGTCTATCGCTATAACTATTTGGATAAGGGATTACACTTTGTTTCAGAGTCTACTGGTAGTAATGTAAATGATAAAACAACAAAACTGTTATAAAATATCTTACCTCTAACATAGTAACTAAATGGAAGGAGTTATTATCAATTATATACAGTAAAAGTTTACTATTCTGACGAATTTCTAATTGTTTGCTCTCCAAATCTTCATAACAATTTAGAAAATCCTCGTTATTTCCAATGGATGGACAAACAGTCTTTTCTATTGCTCTATAGTGTGATAAATTCACTTTAGCCAACTTCGGCATTATATTATTATCCCACAAAAATTGACTATGTTTATTTTCTTCTGAAATCCCTGCAATGTATATATCTGTTTTTAAATCTACAGTATTCCGAGTATTGTTTAAATCTGGTATTTGTAGTGGTGGCAGTGATGATGACGAACAAGCACTGGATTTAATCGATGCACAACGTGAATCACCATGCGAAGAAGTATCAGGCTGTTTCAATAAACAGGAGGAAAAGAGAATTATAAAAGATATTGCATACCAATAGAAGACACAATCGAAAAATGTGAATTATGTATTCTTTTGGAATAATGTAAAATTTTGATTATCTAAATCTTCTGAGTCTCGATTGGTTCGGCAGTCTCGGGTTAAAAAACTTACTTATAAATGCTATTTTTAACCAAATGCAAAACTCGGGTACGGTTTCTGACTTCAGTCAGAGTTTCCCAAATGTTTTCGAGCCAGGTCTTGGTTGTTTCACAACTTTTCCTGCCATAGACCTGTGTCATATGTTTCATTACAGTAGGCTGGAGCCAAAATCTCCCGTCTCCAACAATAAGATATTCTCAAACGCGGTCTTGGTTGTGCCACAGCTTCTAGCACACTGGTGGGGTGGGGGCCACGAACCACCGATGAAACTCTGATAGGTGAGCTACCTGCAGCTAAGTTGCCAGAGGCCCTAAAATCCTTCGACATCGAAACACTTGTGTTCACTAAAGACTACAGAGTAGAACACAATAGATGGATAAGAGTGATTATTAGTAAACCTGGTAAGGTAATATATGATGTCACAATCGGATCGGACACGTGGACGCGATTTAAGGACCAACTAACACGACGTGCATCCTCCGAAGGTAAAACAGTCACTAGCGGTTTGCAACAGGATATATTGCTGGAAAACTTCGCACTACAACATAAAAAGAATGCCATGAAACATTCGGACCCTCCACCTAGCAACGGATCACTCCCTAGACGTTGTTCAGAAGGGTGCAGAACACAAGGTGACTTCTCTCAAGACACTGGATTCACAGTCCACTTTGTCATGTAGGCAGGTACGACTGGGAGTTTCTCCGCTAGATTCCTCTACTCAAGTTACTGTGTCTAATATTTTATTATGGCTTGATTCCACACAGTATTTGGTATAAGTATGGAATTTTCAGCATGTGATATCGGTAGCCCAACTTTAGCAGGTCGACCATTGATATCAGGTGTGGGTCGGTCGTGGATCGAACCCCGGACCATGTGCATGGTCGGCGAACTTCCTAACCACTGTGCCACCGACGCACATGGACAGTAAAGGAATTACCCAAGTTGCGAAGAGTTGTGCCGATAACAGATCAGATATCATCATGGAGCCACTTACACTATGTAGTCCTACCAGATGTTAGGAAGTAAGAGATTAAGATGCTTATTGGCTGTAACGTGTCAGAGGTACATGTGACGACTGATAAAATGTTCGATGGAGCTAATGAACCCTGTGCCATAAAAACTGCCTTAGGATGGACATTATTGGGACCATGCAATAAGATTCTTGGAGAAACTAATCTGGTGAATTATACTTTATCTACAGAAAAAATTGAGGTTATGTTCGAAAAGTTTTATAAGAAGGAGTTTTACGACGCCAGTAGTTATGTACCCATGTCTGTTGAAGAAAGTAGGGCTCTCAGCATCATGTCTGAATCCATACAGTTGGTAGATGGACATTATCAAATAGCACCTCCATAGCGTCGACAAGGAGGATTACCCAATAATAGAAAAATGGCAAGGAGTCGATTGAATTCGTTGAAGAAACGCCTATTCCAAGACTCAGTCTAGCACGAAAAGTATACCAACGTAATGTCATAGTATATTGAAAGAGGTTTTGCTGAAATGATAGGGGAGGATCATGCTGGCGGACAGGTTTGGTACTTGCCACATCACCCAGTATTCCATCCTAAGAAGCCGAATAAATTGAGGATAGTGTTCGACTGTGCGTCAGAGTATGCAGTAATATCTCTGAATAAGAATCTATACTTTGGCCCAGATCTGGTAAACGATTGGTTGATGTTTTTATGAGATTTCGGCAGCGATCAATAAGCATCACTGCAGATATAGAAGCTATGTTTCTTCAATTGATCGTTCCCACACATAATAGAAATGCTCTTAGATTCTTATGGTGATCCGGGACGAAATGAGAACAGAACAAACACTTTACAGAATGAAGGTGCATGTTTTCGGAGCAACTTCTTCGCCGAGTTGTGCGACATTCGCTTTGCAAAGAACCATTTCGGACAACGCTGATAAGTTTGATAAATGTGTTATTCAAATAGCTAGAGAATAGTTCTATGTCGACGATTTGCTTACTAGTGCTAGCACATCGGACGAGGATAAGCTGATTTATTCCCAGTTGAAGCAAATTCTAAGACTAGGAGGCTTTCATCTAACTAAATGGACTAACAACAACCGAGAATTAATGAAGTTCATCCCTGAAGAAGACCGTGCCTAGAGAAACACCAACATTCTTCTATCTAAAGACCAAAACGAGAGAACGTCGAGCATACAATGGAATATATTGAGTGATAATATCTGCTCCCGAACGCTTGAATTTAGAGCAAGGCTGACTAGAAGAGCTCTTTTGTCATATGTAGCTTCGATATTTGACCCAGTTGGAATTATAGTGACAATGCTATTGCCTGCTAAATTAATTCTGCAAGACACCTGTAGAAGGAGATAGCAGTGGGATGCAAACCTGCCCGAAGACTGTCTTGCCTTCTGGAATAACCGGTATAAGAATACTAATTATTTGAATAAAATTCCGATTCCACGATGGATTATGCCTACTTCCTGTAAACCGTTAAATATTCACCTTCACTGTTTCGCCGACGCTTTAGAGTTCGCTTACGGTGCTGTCGCATATATCCGTTTCGAAGATGTTTCTCACCAAGTTTACTGCTCACTGTATGCAGGATATAAATGCTTCGAATAAACACGTTATCTCCAGATGTAGAATTCCTATTTACTGACGTGTCATCGACAGAGATCATATGTTTTATATGTAAATAGACTGATGACACCAAGCTGAATATAGGGACACCAACTACATATCTGTAAGAACTACAATTGAGATGCACATTGTGTGGAATTTATTATCAATGAAAGAAGCTACAGATAGAAGGATGGTATTGACATTGGATCTCCTTTCGGTGCCATCGTCTTATGACCAGCCTAGAAAATGATCAACTGAAGTCAGCAGTCCATGGTTTCCAATGGTATAAAAGGCATACAGATGAAACCTTTATTATCTGTGGTAATATTATTGTGATTTGAATAATATACTAAATGCATTTAATGGTCATCCTCCAGTGATAAAATTCACACACTTGAAATGGAAAACGTGTTTAGCATTCCTCTTCTTGATGTGAAGTTATTAAAGAGGAGCGATGGAACTCCAAAGATATGAACTTATAGAAAACTGTCATGGAATGGTCCACTGACAATTTTCTACAGCTGGGTAGCTCTTTTGGTCGAAAACGAAACTTGGTTTGATCACTCGTCACTCGCGTTCGGTTCATTTGTAGTCTTGATGCTGTTGAAGAAGAGTTAAATCTTCTACGAAGCATCTCCATCAAAAATGGATATCAGCCACGTCTTATAGACAAAAATATACAGTTAAAACCTAAGAAATATGATTTAACGTCTGTACTCAAGAAAATGCTACCTATGAACTTTGAATTTAAAGGTGACTGAACTGCTGAAGTTCTCATAGTCCCTAAAAAACGAAGTTAGCTGCAGCATCATTGCGAATAGTGTTTTCCAGTGGGCTATTACTGTTCAATAACCTGAAGGATAAGATCCCGCAGTTGACTGATTTTATACGTTTACTAGTTCAGCTGTTCCTTTCAAGCTAGGTATATTGGTCGTTATCATATCTGTTTATGCATTTGTCTGATTACTTACCTGTTTTGATCAGTAACAGTATCTGTAAGAGATGCATTAGTTGATATTCAGAAAAAAATAAATAAAGTATATGATTACCTGAGAAAAGGAGTATAATAATCTTTCATCGAATTGAGATTCCATTAAATCAATAAGTGAATTCGATTCTGCTGACGACTGCACTAATCGTTTGTTAGAAAGACAAGATTCAGACGTTTCAGAATTATTCAATAATTTGGATGTAAGGTATACATTGAAATTAGAAAGTAATGCAGGAGATTTTCGGTTCAATACATGCTCAGCATACAGGGAATATAACAAATCCAAACGGTCAACTTTATTCCAATATTTGACAAAATCTCTGTCATTTGTTAATTCTATGTTTAATGACTGAAAACCTTGGCGTACCTTAACCATATAGAAAAACAAGTAAACATTGTTGATATTTAAAATATATCAAATGAAAAAGCATGTATACACTTTGAAGTATGAAATCTAAACTATTAAACAAAAAGTTACAAAGCTGTTCGCATACTACACCACGTAAATGACGCTTGCAATACACAACCAACAGAGCGAACTTGTATCAAATTTAAACACGAGATAATAATAAATCATGGCAGTAAAAAAAATACCCGCCTACACAATTAAGAGACACCCTGACTACTTGACTGCAGACTTCCTGAATGCAATTTAATAGTAGTGAGGATAATAATAACAATAACAATATCCCCGCATTTCCCTCCAAATCACTCGAACACTATTTTCTCTCTGTGTACACGAATAGGGAGAGAATTTCTATTGATTTTACTTCACAGTGTATCTACAATTTCACCTACAATTGCATGCAGGAACACATCTACAGGTGGATGTAGCATAAAAATGTAGGTCTTTTGAAAGAAGCGATCATGAAATCAGTAATTAATAATGCCGATTTCCCAATTATATCGCATACCCTAACTATAGTGATAGAAGTATTTTGAATTAACTAACTAAATGCATCCTAGACTATGTGTACAGAAAACAACACATTTTAACCTTCGCCTACTATAGACTACTTGATAAATATGTCCTTTTATCTTATATAAGTAATTAACTACTAAGCATTTTATTTTTATCAATCATTCTGGTTGTAGCAGGGTTGTACAGAAACTACGAAATGACATCATCTCGTGATACTCTGTCCGAACTGCAGTAATGAATGCATGCACGGAGATCTTTTCCTTACTGATTTATCCCATTAAACATCATACAAACAACTGCCACATAGAGTAGGAGGTTTTCAGCCTTCCTGTACACCATCAAATTCATAAGAACTACTCACAAACTTTCTTGACACACATAGGGTACTTCTTGTGTCTCAAAGATACAACATACAGTGAAACTTCCAGGAGCCAAGATTTCGGCTAGTGATTTGGCACAAGCTGAAAGCTCTAATGTGAAGTTTGCTGATGATTTTAGCCTACTCTATTAAAATCACTCCGTAATCATCACAGAGTCAAGCGACGATGAAAAAGCGGCATAGAGAATAATATTAGCAATTGGAGAAGGTGAAGTTTTAGTAAACAGAGAAAATGAAACGGGTAAATGATGAAAAGAACCTCTTTACTTTATGAAAGTTGATTTCTTCTTAGAGTATCTTAAAGAGAAAAAGGATGAGTTTTATCTGGCTGCAGAGCCCAGGAGGCAACTATTTGACGCCAGTCGTACATGGTTTCATCTGCACATAGGTTACAAACCTTCGACGGTACAGATAATCTTGCCACAGCCTACGAACAGCCTGCACAATTTAGGCAGACATACATTTCTAACCCTCGTCTTATAAGGGGAACAGTTTACCCGCTGATACACTTTTATGTGTCAACAGCATAACGTCAAAATAAGACTCCTAAGCGACCTAGACTAAAAGCAGTTAACATCTTTGTACAACTGCTATCTAACCGACCTTTCTGGCATGGCAGAGCCTGCAGAAAAATTTTTCAGCCAGTATAGTTCACTCAGTCATTGAGATAAGGAAGCTGAACCACCACTTCAGAATAGCTAGCTATCAGTCAGGACTGACATTATTCAAATAAATTCGAGTGAGAAATACATAAATTCTAAATCAGAATGTAATGAGAGAAAAAAGGGATTTAATTTGATAAGCTGACAAAGAGAAACAAACATTCCTCCCAGATTTATAATAAACTAAGTAAAAATTGGGGCTTGTATTTTGAAAAAACGGGTAAATACATGATGAATGAAACAATCTTTCATATTCAGTTTACTTGTGACTACTACACTACTTCTAATACTGTTTCGTTTCAAGGCAAAAACAAAGTAGCTGTATTGATGAAAACTAGTCCTACAGAAAATACGTGTCGTGAATATTGACGAGTTATAAACATAATAAATAATAAATTTGAAATCATGCCAACATAACATCATACCTGCTCGTAAACAAATTGACTGTCGGCTGATTTGGGAATCGTTCCAATTATTCCACGAAGGACATGAGATACGTATCTAAAATAAAATTGACAGTCAGACAAAAACAAGTAAGCATATTTTTTAGAATAATCAATTTACAGTAGGCCTGTGTGTATGGCAGCTCAGCAAAACAATAAAAACCACTAGTAATCTATAACGAAAACTTAATAACGAAGTAGACCTCATTACGAACCCATAAAAGCTCAGGTAATTGTAACTTAATAATCTGAAACAGATTTTTCATACACCAGGTTATCAGCCAACACATAGTGTAAATGGTGATATTATTACGTAGTCACTCAGACCACTGGTTAAAAATCAAGTGCTAAAGCCAATGAAACACACCTCCAATGATAGGAACTAGAAAACCACTTAAAATCAAGAGGGAGCGAAATAACACTTATGTTTTTAGCAGAGGTCACTCATGACTCAGTAAACAGTTGAGCTCAGAACCACCAGAACGCATAGAGAGTATGCTATGTGTTTGCACACTTCCACACTAACCAGTCAAGAATTATTTCTTTCCGTTCTCAGATACAGTGCAGCGTATTTGAAAACAACAGGTGGTACTAACTCCCAAGAATTTTCATGCATTTATTCCCCTTGATGAATTTGAATAAAGCAAGAACACCAGTGGTTTGTGCAGAATAATATGTGTTCAGAAAGAAGCAGTTATTAGTCTTTCCTTGCCCTGGTAACTGGATGTCTTTATTCTCTCTTTCATTTGATTACGTAATCTTTGACTTTAACCTCACCCCTTTGATACAGTGTAATTTTGCTTGTCTCTTGTTTCTATGATTTGAGTTGAACTCAGTACATTGTTACCTAATTTATTAGTCACTCAGCATCTTACGCATCTCTCGTCTTTATTACGTAACTCCTTTAGCATTGTGTGCATACATTTATTTTGACGATACATTTTGTTGTCAAACTGGAATTGTATATCATTAGTACATAGCACGAGAAGCTGCTTAAATTCCAGTTTTGGTAAAGGAAGAAGCTCAGAGTGTTGGCAGATGATCTCTAATTTCTCATGCAGAGGGATCTGCGTGAATAGAGAAGTCACATCGAAGGAAACCATGATTTTGTCATGAACATTGAGGTAATTCACCTCTTCAACAAATTGGAACGAGTCTTTTAGAGTATGCTTAGCTAGACGTTGTCTGACAGCTTCTAACCTATCGGCTAACCAGCGAGCAACTTTGTGAAAAGGTGAATAACAAAATCATGGTTTCCTTCGATGTGACTTCTCTATTCACGCAGATCCCTCTGCATGAGAAATTAGAGATCATCTGTCAACACTCTGATCTTCTTCCTCTACCAAAACTGGAATTTAAGCAGCTTCTCGTGCTATGTACTAATGATATACAATTCCAGTTTGACAACAAAATGTATCACGAGGTTGATGGAGTGGCGATAGGGAGTCCACTGGGTCCGATATTAGCTGATATTTTTATGGCCAGTCTAAAACAGACAAAGCTCAAGTGTGCAATTGGCGAAACAACAGCGTACTATAGATACACATTCATTGTATGTAATGATTTGAGTCACGCTTCGTCTCTATTAGATTCTTTCAACAATGTACACAAAAGCATCACTTTCACGATGGAGCATGAAGATGATGAAAAATTCCATTTTTTGGACGTAAAGTTGGAGAGAAAATACGACGGGACACTCGAAAGATCTGTATATCGTAAAGACACATAAAGTGGTCTTTACTTGAATTTCAACAGCTTCTACCCAGTGAGATACAAACGAACGCTGATGAAAACGCTTTTCTCTAGAGCGAAGAGAATATGTTCACCAAACAAACTAGACAGTGAACTAATGCTTCTTGAAAAATGCTTGAAAGAAAATGGTTACCCACAAAGTGTCATTAACAAATATGGCAAGAATGAACTCAAGAAGCTTGATACAGCTGCAGCCAATAAGAAGCCTATTTTCATCAAACTCGACTACAAGGGCGACGACATTATGAGTATGGTAAATAAAAGATTAAGCGCAGCCCTGTCTAGGACGTATCCTGCAGCATTATTAGTCTCTCTACCCCGAACAACCTCCTCATTGGTGCAGTCAAAGATTGACAAGTACCCCTCACATGTTACCTCCAACTGTGTATACCAATTCACATGTATCTGCGGGAGCAGTTACATTAGAAGAACAGAGAGGAGGGCCTACGTCAGATTCTGCGAACATGTACCAAGGAGCCTCCGATTAAAGGGAACGAATTCTTTAAGCCCTTCAATCGCCAAACACCTGATTGACACAGGACACCGAGTAGATGTGCTGGAATCATTCAAAATAATTGACAGACAAAGTACCTCAAGTCTTCTCAGGTTTGCTGAAGCTATAGCAATAAAACGATTGAAGCCTGACTCATGTGTCCAAAAAGAATCCGTTGTTGAACTTCAATTACCCTGGTGACTCACCTCTTAATTCTTTGTTTTCTAATTTTGTTAACTTATCTTTTCACTCCCTGCCCCTTTATTTTTCGCTTGACTCTCTTAAGAGATCATTTTTCTTGATCTCCTGAGTTCTGCTCACTCTATTACATCATCAACTTCTCATCTGTCCTCATGTGCACCAAAATTTTGATCTTCCCTTATCTAATTACGTAACTATTACTAATTTTCTTTTGTTACCACCCCAACAACACAACTGTTAATTAATTTTTTCAAGAAACTTCTCTCTAGCAAGATATATATATATTTGTCGTAACGTTTTGTAAATCGCAACACCTTATTTCACTATGACGCTCTGACAATATGCTTGCTAATGGACAAAAGTTTGTTAAAATTGTACACTTTTTATTTTATTAAAGAATTCAGGTTGTACGCAGCTGATGAGAACCGACGAAATAAAATGGATCCAGATTATTCTGCGCTAATGTTTCTTCTTTCTTTGTGCATATTTTTACAGTCACAAACCATTCTTTTTCTTGCGCTACAACACCACGTAATCAAGTACATGATACTTGGGTGGAAAGTTTTCCTCGTGTGTAGGTGTTCAAGCATATGGGTAAGGTATTTGCTCCCGGTCTGCTTTATATATAAATCATTGTGAATTAAATCAGCCTAATGGCTCTAGTTGTTCGATACAAACAACGAATAACAAACGAGATGTAGCCGTGTTCTCTGAGCTGGCTGATACTGTGCTACTCAGAAACCGCATAATAAGTATATGTACTAGGGTAAACCACGCACACTGTATTGGTGCTTATCATTATCTGATGGCCCAGACAGAAACAAGTGAAATCAGGACCCATAAATTATAAGCCAAGTGAAGGTCATACCTGCGCAATGTGAGAACATGTCCAGTACTCCCAGGTTTACCAATGATTCTCTAACCAATGTCAACTCATGATGAAATCCTCCAACCAATCAAACAAAATCCCTATAAAACCAATACTTGAGAACATATATTACCCTTAAAAACTTTATAGCTTCGTGGAAACCAACACGTGTGACACGTATCTACTACTTAAGAACCAAGCTTCATACTCAGCTTCTCAGAACCAGGGGGGAATATGAGTAGAAAATGCAACCTAATAAACTAAAGCAATCCCTACCAGATTTGAATAAGCAAGGATGTTTTAAAGAAAAAGCTGTAATTGAACATGCAAAATAAAACACCATTTTAGTGTGGAATTAAAACTAATGGACAGTAATTATTGTGTATAGCAAATCTTGATAACTTTGAAAAAAAATCTAACGAATTTTACAAATACATAAAATTGAAAAAAAAGCGCTTACTGTATTTTATCAATTGATTTTTTCTCTTCATGAGTCAAATTCCCTGACGATTTAAACCTCTTGATATAAAATTCAGTGGAGGAAATAAAAAATTCAAATAATTCTTTTTCTTTTCAAAACAAAAGAGAAAACAATAATACCTTTTATTACCACAATATTCACAATTTGCACTAACTCTTTATAACTGCATAAACCTCAATATTTAATTAGCTTTTGACCGAAGGGACATTTTTTGCAAGTTGGTACGTATCTCCGATAAGAAACAATCAACTGCATGACGACTTAGAACTATGCCTAAAATCTCTCCACTTGTTTAACTCGTTTTTATTTTCAGACACTGGAGTAATGTGCAGCATCTGAGATGATTAGTCATTATTTTTTAGTCGGCAATGAACTTTTCTACGGCTAAATAACTGAAGAGTCTAAAAGCTACAGCTCCACAACTAATAACAGATCCTACTCATCATCATATATTCAAATCAATAATCAACGACAACACATAAAACTCAAGTACAAGGCTGAAGAAAAACAACTGACAGTAAATAATGCTACGTGAGAGGTATGAATAATCCATATTAGGGTTGTATTCTTTGGAATTCCTTCTGTTTTAAGTAGCAAAAGAAAACCTAACATCAATTGAATGATCGTCGAGAGACTAAACAGTATTTCTTTTTGTCTCTTGTTGTATGATGATTCTGAGTTTCAACACCTAAAACTGACCAATTAACGTCTGTAGAAAAAACAAATGGATGATAAACCAATTTGAGCCTAAATGGAGTAGTAAGTTGTTATATGTTTATGCAATCAGTCATGAAGTTGGTGGGTGAAAACAAACTCCACGTATTTTGTAGATTCCATTTAAGACGTAACATATTGCCAGTTGAAAAGCATATGAATATTCGAACAAATAACCTCAGGAAAAGCTGAGCACTACACAAAAACACGTGTCTACCAAAGATAACCTACATAAAGCTTACTCCAAAGAAGATGATATGACCAAAACAGACATTTAAGTCAAAGTGCTGCGTCAATATGATTCAGCAGTCACTGATACACTTTACCTGAAGTAATCCAATACTTTGTGCAAAGTTAGTCCTCAAGAAAATATGAATGATAATATTTACAATAACACCAAAAGCCCTCAAACATAGATTAAAGAATAATTCTACCACACAGATTAATTTGATATACAAAGCTTTAGAAAACAATAAGTACATATATTATGTAAAGTAATCACAACTGATGGTGATTTTCAAGGATTCGTTGTATTAGCATTCCAATGTGTCTTGAGTACACCTATAATGTTGGCTGTTACTTCCTGTACCTGAAATTTCTCCGTAATTAGTCCTCTGAGTAATATTTCGTTTAGCATGAATGATTAACCAACTTATCAACGTGAAACTACACAAAATGGAATCAGTCCCAGTTGCCATATTTCAGACAAACACACAATAGGAGAAAACTGTAGTGAAACTACAAAAGGAAATGTAATGGACAGAGAATTATTAGAGTAGGATTGGTGGAGATTTTCAGATTCGTGATGGTATCAGGGATTAGATACATCTGACCTGTTTTGAACGACTAAACCATATCATTGAGTTCTCAACAACTGATTCATAGCATTCCGATGTTCAATGTACACTACCTACTTGGACATCATGGTTTTGAGACCGTTAGTCACTTTGTGTGTACCTTTTCCATAGTAGAAGAAACAAAAATCCAGCAGTGCTGGTGCCAATGAATTAATTTTTAAGAGTTATTGAGTCCCAGGGTTTCTTGAGATCCAGAGTCCGTGAACACCAACACGTACTACCCCCAAATCAATCGGCATTTATCTCACCGCACACTCCGCTCTGGAAGTATAACTCATTGGCCTAAGCACTAGGTTTCAGCTGCCCATGGGTCACAGGTTCGAGTCCCATTCCACTTAATTCAGTATGGGCAACTGGATAGCATCATCAGCCGTTGAAGTAGTCGTATATGAAAAGTCACCTCCGCATAATTGAGTTCAAACATCTTGATACACCCTATCATTTTACTGCCATTTAAAGGCATTCCCAAGCCTTAAAAAAAAATATGACATACTTTCCTTTACTTCGGCTATCTCCTACGGGAGGATGAGCCGGCTTCATGAACATCTCGAATCATCGCTGCCCAGGCGCGGCGATCTGATGCAAGGTTTTGCAACAGGGTTATCCAATTCTTGTTCCACAGACGGAGTCCGTAGACGGTTTGTAGCCCCAGGCACTCCATATCAGCCTTGACTGTACCAAGCCATGTTTTCAGCTGTCCACCCCTGCGACATCGCCAAGATGGTAATGGCGAGGGATTTAGAACTGATTTGACCAGATCGTCATCTGGTCGGTGCAGAACATGGCCAAACCACCGAAGGCGACGTTGTTGGACCAGTACTGGAATTTGGTTGATGTTGTAGCAACGACGACGCACTTCTTCGTTGGAGAGTTTGTCCTGCCAACGAACATGCAGAATGTACCTGAGGCACCAATGGTCTACTACCTCGAGTCTGCGTACATCTTCCGCGCGAAGAGGCCAGGTTTCACAGCCATAGAGGAGAACGGATCGTATGGAGGCTTGGTAGACCCGAATTTTAGTCCTGAGACTGATTTCCCTCTTGCTCCATAGAACGCTCCTCAGCTGTAGAAACGCATTCCGGGCGTTGGAGATTCGCGCATTCACTTCGTTTTTCGCTTGACCGTTGGGAAGCATTATGGATCCCAGATATCTGAAGGATGGCACAATTTCAATAGGTGCTCCATTCAGGTATAAGATTTCATCATTGCTGGTGGATGTGTTCGAAAACATTTTGGTTTTGGAAGTGTTAATTTCCAAACCGATAGTAGACGCGAGGTGGTTTATCTGATCGAGCGCCTGTTGCATATCGGGGAAGTTTTCAGCTAATAACACGATGTCGTCGGCGAATTCGAGGTCGGTTATGTGAATATCGGGCGAAAGTTGGACGCCGTGGTGCTCGGTTAGGGCGTGCCGCAAAATCCAATCAATTGTGAAATTGAACAGGATGGGGGATGCTGGACAACCTTGCCGGACACCGCTGGTTACCTCAAAAGTGCGAGACTCTTCACCGTTCACTCGGACTCGAGCTTTGGTGTTGGAGTAGTATGACCTGAGCAGGTTGATTAGCTTGGTCGGAACTCCGTCGAGCTCCATTAGATACCAGAGTGCTCCTCGATCAACTGAGTCGAATGCCGCTCGGAAGTCGATGAAGCAAGCAACCATCGGCTGGTGGAATTTGTCCCTGTGTTCCAAAATTCTTCGCAGTGTGAATAATTGATCAACACAGCCTCTTCCAGGTCGAAATCCGGCTTGATTTGGCCTTGTTCGCACGTGGCGTTCGGCAGCGAAGCGGTTCAGGAGAATGGAAACAAAAACCTTAGCAGCGATATCAATCAGACTTATGCCTCGGTAGTTCTCGCATAGTGACCTGTCTCCCTTTTTGTGGAACGGTAGCAGAACTGAGGTGCTCCAATCGGAAGGAATGGTTTCGGAATCCCAAATTGAGCAGAACAGCGAGTGCAGCGAATCGGTTAGCGCTGGAGTGCAGACCTTGTATATTTCTGGAGGTAGACCATCTTCGCCCGGAGCTTTTTTGTTTCTGAGTCTGTTAATTGTTTTAGCTATTTCGGTTGGAGTGGGTGGATCGCAGTCAACTACGTAGGGTGTTGGTAAGTGTCGTATCGGTCGATGAGACGGTTGACCAGTGTTGCGATTGAGTAGCTGCTTGAAATGTTCGGCCCATCGTTCCATCTTACCATTGGTGTCTGAAATAATTTCTCCTGATGCTGTGCGTAACACAGCATGGCTGTTAAGGCGTTTGCCAGACGATAGGCGTATGAGACGATAGAGTTTTCCAAAATCGCCTACATTTGATGCTGCTTCCATGTTAGTCGCCACATTAGACCAATAGCGATTTCTGTCATTCCTAGCAGACTGTGTAGCTTTGCGCCTGAGGGAGCGATAAACTGGAGACTTTGCTAGGCGAGCGTCTCTGGCTTGCGAGGATAGATGCATAGTGTGCTCTGAAATCCAGTCTTTCTGCTTGTTGGATGTGGTACCCAAATGTGACATTGAAGCTTTAGAGACTACTTCTTTGAAATGATTCCATCGTGTCTCAGGTGTATTAGAAGATGTGGATGTTGGCTCATCTGCGGCGCTTAGTTCGGCCTGGATTTGTTTGGACAAGGCTTGTCGCTTTGTCGAACATTGAAGCGGGGCAACATTGATACGCTTCGGAGGTCGCGCCTTCTGGCGTGTTGTTAAACGAAGTTTGAATTTCGCCCGAACTAGAGTATGGTCTGATCCCCCTTTATTTCCGGCCTCTGCGCCACGATAGGATCGACAGTCCTCCACCGAGGAGATCCAGCGTGAGCGTACTAGGATGTAGTCAATCTGATGTGCAGTGCGACCGTCGTTCGAATACCAGGTGAGAAGATGTTTTCTAGGGTGTTGAAATCGAGTGTTGGTGATATATAATCGATTGTAATCAGAAAAAGCTAAAAGTCTATCACCATTACGGCAGCGCTGATCGAGACCGTGTTTGCCTAGTATATGTTTTGTCGCGTCGTCTGAAGGGCCAGTGCGGGCGTTCCAATCGCCGGCTACTATGAGAACGTCACGCTTTGGGATTTTGTTGATTGCCTCTTGAAGATTGTCATAAAATTCGTCTTTGATACTTTCATCAGAGTCGAGGGTTGGGGCATAGGCAGCGAGAACAGAAATGTCGAGCGGGGAACCCTTGAACCTAGCGATTGCAACTCTGGAGTTGACCGGTTCGAACGATATTAGGGCATTATTGGCTTTGTTACTGAGAGCAAATGCTACCCCATGTTGTCCCGAATTATTCTGGGGTCCACTACGAAGCAACCAGAATGAAGAATCTGTTCCAGGTACGGCTATTCGGCGGGAGCCATGATCGGGTAACCTCACTTCAGATAGACACGCTATGTCCACCTTGTAGTCGTATAAAGAACGCATGGTGATAGACTGGTTACCAGGATCCAACAGCGTCCTAACATTCCAGCAGCCAACAAATAGTTGGTTTCCAAGTGTTAATTTCCCAGCTGGCTTACTTTTCACACTGACCACCGGGTGAGCACAGGGCGCGTCGCTTACTGGGAACGCCGTAGCATGGTGAGAGTCGTTTGTAAGAGAGTTCATGAAGTTTCATGGGAATTCGGCACGAGTGATGTCCCCAGAATCGCTCGGACTTTTGTTTGGATGTCCTGGATGTCTGGCCCCATTCAAAAAGGCGTATGAACTGAACTCCGGTCACCGGCTGCCAATGGATAGTGGACTCCCTTCTCCACTCCTACTGCCTTGTAGGTCACACCTGGTTGTGTAAAGGCTAGAGCTGCACTCTCAAACAAAAGTCCGAGCGATTCTGGGGACATCACTCGTGCCGAATTCCCATGAAACTTCATGAACTCTCTTACAAACGACTCTCACCATGCTACGGCGTTCCCAGTAAGCGACGCGCCCTGTGCTCACCCGGTGGTCAGTGTGAAAAGTAAGCCAGCTGGGAAATTAACACTTGGAAACCAACTATTTGTTGGCTGCTGGAATGTTAGGACGCTGTTGGATCCTGGTAACCAGTCTATCACCATGCGTTCTTTATACGACTACAAGGTGGACATAGCGTGTCTATCTGAAGTGAGGTTACCCGATCATGGCTCCCGCCGAATAGCCGTACCTGGAACAGATTCTTCATTCTGGTTGCTTCGTAGTGGACCCCAGAATAATTCGGGACAACATGGGGTAGCATTTGCTCTCAGTAACAAAGCCAATAATGCCCTAATATCGTTCGAACCGGTCAACTCCAGAGTTGCAATCGCTAGGTTCAAGGGTTCCCCGCTCGACATTTCTGTTCTCGCTGCCTATGCCCCAACCCTCGACTCTGATGAAAGTATCAAAGACGAATTTTATGACAATCTTCAAGAGGCAATCAACAAAATCCCAAAGCGTGACGTTCTCATAGTAGCCGGCGATTGGAACGCCCGCACTGGCCCTTCAGACGACGCGACAAAACATATACTAGGCAAACACGGTCTCGATCAGCGCTGCCGTAATGGTGATAGACTTTTAGCTTTTTCTGATTACAATCGATTATATATCACCAACACTCGATTTCAACACCCTAGAAAACATCTTCTCACCTGGTATTCGAACGACGGTCGCACTGCACATCAGATTGACTACATCCTAGTACGCTCACGCTGGATCTCCTCGGTGGAGGACTGTCGATCCTATCGTGGCGCAGAGGCCGGAAATAAAGGGGGATCAGACCATACTCTAGTTCGGGCGAAATTCAAACTTCGTTTAACAACACGCCAGAAGGCGCGACCTCCGAAGCGTATCAATGTTGCCCCGCTTCAATGTTCGACAAAGCGACAAGCCTTGTCCAAACAAATCCAGGCCGAACTAAGCGCCGCAGATGAGCCAACATCCACATCTTCTAATACACCTGAGACACGATGGAATCATTTCAAAGAAGTAGTCTCTAAAGCTTCAATGTCACATTTGGGTACCACATCCAACAAGCAGAAAGACTGGATTTCAGAGCACACTATGCATCTATCCTCGCAAGCCAGAGACGCTCGCCTAGCAAAGTCTCCAGTTTATCGCTCCCTCAGGCGCAAAGCTACACAGTCTGCTAGGAATGACAGAAATCGCTATTGGTCTAATGTGGCGACTAACATGGAAGCAGCATCAAATGTAGGCGATTTCGGAAAACTCTATCGTCTCATACGCCTATCGTCTGGCAAACGCCTTAACAGCCATGCTGTGTTACGCACAGCATCAGGAGAAATTATTTCAGACACCAATGGTAAGATGGAACGATGGGCCGAACATTTCAAGCAGCTACTCAATCGCAACACTGGTCAACCGTCTCATCGACCGATACGACACTTACCAACACCCTACGTAGTTGACTGCGATCCACCCACTCCAACCGAAATAGCTAAAACAATTAACAGACTCAGAAACAAAAAAGCTCCGGGCGAAGATGGTCTACCTCCAGAAATATACAAGGTCTGCACTCCAGCGCTAACCGATTCGCTGCACTCGCTGTTCTGTTCAATTTGGGATTCCGAAACCATTCCTTCCGATTGGAGCACCTCAGTTCTGCTACCGTTCCACAAAAAGGGAGACAGGTCACTATGCGAGAACTACCGAGGCATAAGTCTGATTGATATCGCTGCTAAGGATTTTGTTTCCATTCTCCTGAACCACTTCGCTGCCGAACGCCACGTGCGAACAAGGCCAAATCAAGCCGGATTTCGACCTGGAAGAGGCTGTGTTGATCAATTATTCACACTGCGAAGAATTTTGGAACACAGGGACAAATTCCACCAGCCGACGGTTGCTTGCTTCATCGACTTCCGAGCGGCATTCGACTCAGTTGATCGAGGAGCACTCTGGTATCTAATGGAGCTCGACGGAGTTCCGACCAAGCTAATCAACCTGCTCAGGTCATACTACTCCAACACCAGAGCTCGAGTCCGAGTGAACGGTGAAGAGTCTCGCACTTTTGAGGTAACCAGCGGTGTCCGGCAAGGTTGTCCAGCATCCCCCATCCTGTTCAATTTCACAATTGATTGGATTTTGCGGCACGCCCTAACCGAGCACCACGGCGTCCAACTTTCGCCCGATATTCACATAACCGACCTCGAATTCCCTGACGACATAGTGTTATTAGCTGAAAACTTCCCCGATATGCAACAGGCGCTCGATCAGGTAAACCACCTCGCGTCTACTATCGGTTTGGAAATTAACACTTCCAAAACCAAAATGTTTTCGAACACATCCACCAGCAATGATGAAATCTTATACCTGAATGGAGCACCTATTGAAATTGTGCCATCCTTCAGATATCTGGGATCCATAATGCTTCCCAACGGTCAAGCGAAAAACGAAGTGAATGCGCGAATCTCCAATGCCCGGAATGCGTTTCTACAGCTGAGGAGCGTTCTATGGAGCAAGAGGGAAATCAGTCTCAGGATTAAAATTCGGGTCTACCAAGCCTCCATACGATCCGTTCTCCTCTATGGCTGTGAAACCTGGCCTCTTCGCGCGGAAGATGTACGCAGACTCGAGGTAGTAGACCATTGGTGCCTCAGGTACATTCTGCATGTTCGTTGGCAGGACAAACTCTCCAACGAAGAAGTGCGTCGTCGTTGCTACAACATCAACCAAATTCCAGTACTGGTCCAACAACGTCGCCTTCGGTGGTTTGGCCATGTTCTGCACCGACCAGATGACGATCTGGTCAAATCAGTTCTAAATATTTTTTATATTATATTTTTTTATATTTTGATTACAGCTTGATGCCACACTGTATTTTCAGTACAAGTATGACATTTTCAGCATGGATATCGGTAGCCCAAATTTTGCAGGCCGACCATAGATATCGGGTGTGCGTCGGCAGGGGGTCGAACCCCGGACCATGTGCATGGTCGGCGAGAGTCCTAACCACTGTGCCACCGACGCACAGTGGTTACGCCATTACCATCTTGGCGATGTCGCAGGGGTGGACAGCTGAAAACATGGCTTGGTACAGTCAAGGCTGATATGGAGTGCCTGGGGCTACAAACCGTCTACGGACTCCGTCTGTGGAACAAGAATTGGATAACCCTGTTGCAAAACCTTGCATCAGATCGCCGCGCCTGGGCAGCGATGATTCGAGATGTTCATGAAGCCGTCTCATCCTCCCGTAGGAGATAGCCGAAGTAAAGTAAAGTAAAAGTAAGTAATCACTCTTTGTGGCTCAGACCAACAATCGATGAATCCATGGGTGTCATGTTTTGGTCTGACTACTTCCAACCCTTACCCAACATACACCTTGCTTTAGTTATCATTACCCGTCAAGAGACACATTACATCGGAATGCATAAGACATGCCTCGCCCGTCTGAATCTATGTAACCTCACACCATCGACTAATCTCCTCCTTACCTAACATAACCATAAGCTCATTATCACCTATCTTGGTGTACTTAACGCGAGCGACTGGTCAGAGATATTTATGACTAAAAGCCTCTAGTCTCTTTACATCCTCTACATTCAGTGTCCATATATCACAGGTATAGATTCAAACAGAACGGACTGCCACGCAGTACACATACCATTAGATAGATAATAGGATATCCTGCTTACATTAAAGTGGAAGAATGTAAAATCTGGTCCATAAGGACCCCAATTACGTGAAATCATGAACATAATCAACCACCTTACTTCCTATCCTTAACAAACACTTCAACTAGTTGACTGGCATGTCTTACGAGACGAGATTATCGAAAGTCAACTACACATGTGTAGAAAAGTCTAAAGTGTAAACTGAAGCAGCTTGAAAATTTACCTACCATCTGGAAATGAATAGAAACTTAAGCCCACTAGTTTTAAAATGACAAAGTACTATTACTTAAAGTATGAGAAATAAGAATATCCAGATGAAATTTCTTCAACTGCTTACAGAGCTTAAGGTCTCAGTTGGGTTTTCAAAAGGCAAAGTGAATTTGACGGAATTAGAAAGAGATTTGTGTAGGAATGTTAGGCATGAATAACACAGTTCTGAAAAGCTTAACCTCAATAACTATTGTGTTAAGCTTTGCTCTTCGACAACAGCAAGTCACGGAGAATTAGGACAGACTCACCACAAACACATGATGCATTGACTATATCATCACAGAGCTTATTAAATTCATCGTAAGGAAACCGATACACACATCAACTAAGTAAGGTTGAACAAGGAAAACTTACCAAATAGCTATTGCGGATCGCATGATTTACAGCAGTTTCAACATCCGAAAAACATGGAATCCTGAGACGCTTGATTGTTTTCAGAAAATAATTCATAGCTTCCTCTAGATAATAGTATTCTCTAAAAAGATAAATAAAAGGTGAAGAGAATCAAATTAATAGGCAGGACAATTTAACTCGTTAGAATACAAAAATTTATACAGCACATATCAGTAACTAAAATTATCCACTACAGTATTTGTGAATAGTAAGATGTGAATTAAGAATGCAGGGAAATTCTCTGAGTCATAACTGAGATCATACCGATGACTATCGGTACAGGTTACACAGCTTCAATAATTTATGGAAAAAGCTTTAACCACAAAGTAAAAATTCTCAAAGTTTCGACGCCATATGAAATTTTTCTTAGCTATTCATTTTTCCTGAAGGATGTAAACCTAAAATTGTGCATATGATCATTTCCCTACATACTGCATTTTTCAAGTAAACAATTAGCTAAGAAACAAATAGCTCTGAAATAAATCTAACGTAGAACACAATGTCTGATAAGCATAAAAATATGATACTCCTGTGAAATTCGGTTACCTGACACATATTTCTAGCCATAATTATTGTGTAATGGTTCGTGGAATTGCTCGGTAGTTAAGAACAGAGTGCGGGAAAAATTGTTTGAATCTACTACCTATTATTTGAAGACCGAGTGTGTACATCAAATGATTACACCTGACCCTGCATAGTAGTTAACACACGCTAACTACTAGAGGAGGAAAACATAAAATGCCTAGTTTAGAATAAACGAGCAGACAGGAGAGTGAAAAATACGTGCAAAGGTTGTAGAGAAAGATACTTAATTATTGGAAATACACTTCGCCCCCACAAACTTTACCATATGCCAACTCCTACCCGACACTGAAAGCCATCAAATGTTTTGATGTGTTTTAGTGATAATTGAAGATTCCCCCGTAAAATATAAACCACTTTTTCCCTTCACTATTTCGCAAGGTAATCAGATTTGAAGGTGTTCAAGCGTAAGGGTAGTTTACAGTGCCACGAAGAATATTTTACTGGCAGATTAATAAAGTACATACGATGTATGTCCAACTCTGAATCCAGTGTTTACCGAAATGTTGTTTGTTAAAACTTTGTCACAAGTGCCATCAATTACAGATTTAATTTGAAGTCCATGAGTAAATGGCCTATATCTGTTTGACCAATTAGTCGCTAGTTGTTTCGGAAAATAAGAAATATATGAGATTAGATTTTGAAAAAAGCCTCTACAAGATTATTAAGATTCACTTGCCTGTTAATCTACTATAATAATAACTGCAATTATAACATCGAAATGCAAAGAATATAAGAATAAAAACAGTAGACTCACAACTTATCAATACTTTCACCAGCTATTAAAAGAGGACCAGTATCTTCAACTTTGGATACGGTTACTACCAAAGGCTTTCTTTGGGAAGCAAGATAAATAACTTCCAGCAGACTGACTAGCCCTCTCGTCTTCCAGTTTTCAAAAACAAATAACAGTATGTCAGATGATAACTTGGCGTTTTTCTCCAATTTTATAAGGTCTGGTGACCATACATCTACTTGCTAGATGAATAAGAAACAATGACTAAAGATTAGAAGAGGAAGAAAGTATTAGTCAACGATCAATTATATGTATATATATATATGCATCCTAATGAAAAAAGTATGCAGTTGTATACAATACACTTCATATTAGCTGAATCAGAAACCGAAAAAAATAAAGTTGGCAATAACGGTTAGCTAGAATTGGACCTAATGGGGAACCCATAGCTCCACCATTAGTTTGTCTGTAATATTCCTTATTGAATAAGAAATGAACATTCATTGTACATCTTACAATAAGTTCGTTCAAGGAGGATACAGAAATGCCGATGTCTATGTTTCGCGTAGTAATCTCATCACATATAAAATCCACTGTCTCCATTAACGATGCATTGGTGAACAAGGAGGATACATCTGAATTCGCCTCCTCTATGTGTATCTACCAGTTTGACTGCAGCTGCGGAGCCAGCTACATCGGGCGTACAATTAGGCAGGTTCATCATCGTATTTCCGAACATCATCCAGCATGGTTAAGCAAGGGACGAACAAGACCTATTCTTAGCGCTATTTTAGCACACCTTGTAGATAGTGAGCATAAAGTTGACGTTAATACAGCATTTAAAATTATTTATCGCATACCTACTAACCTTAATTTTGCTTTAGAGGTCGTCTTTTACATACAGCTGAAGCAATAGGGACCCACCTGAAGGAGTCAAATCTGTGTGTTCAGAAGAAATTTGTACAGCCACTTTCCTTACCTTGGCCATCGTTACATGAATGTATAGACCGGACTACTTCGCCCGCCTCCCACTAAATCGAAATCGTTTTATTTTCTTTAACAACCTGTTACGTAATCAACCTGTGCACACGCTTATTCCTTAATTACTCTCCATTTTTCCAAAATTATGCATTACGCAATCCACATGTTTCAACCATTTCTACCTTTTAATTGTCTGTATTAATTTTCTTCATTGATTATCACCCCACTGACATGTTGACACTGACTAATCATTGTTAACAAACATATCGACACTTTATTGGTAAATTGTTGTGTATTGTAATAAAAATGCTATTTATATTAAAGTAGAGCCAGAGATGAGGATCTAACTGAAAAGTAAATATTTCTTTTCTCAGTCCTGCTTTCTAAATGTCTAAATGGGGATTTCTTCTCTATTGAAATCCAATTATATTATGCAAAAGTTGAGATCCAAAGTCTTATCCGTAATTATTGAATATAAACTCATCATGACCATCGTCACACTAGAAAAATACCATCTAAAATGCTTTGACAAACCCACTGAACTTCCTTCTTTATAAGTCCCTAAAAACAACTATCAGTAGTTTCGATCCGCTCAGGCTAATACGAATACGTGTTTATCTGGTCCAATACTCAAAACAACCAACTTCAGCCCCAGGTGTGTAAAGAAATTTGCGATCAGCATGCACTGTTTACTTTAAACAGAACAATTAGCGACATAATAGTTACTCATTACCTACATCTTTTGCAAGTGACTACTCATTTGATCTCCTTATTTCATTTTATTCTCTAACTATACCATAATTCTAAAATGGAAATAACTTCATGCTGATTCTTTTTAAAACTTGGGTTAACACAGAAAAGTATAACTTAATGAGACCATTTGAAACGAGGAGAGAAGAATACATAGGTTCGAACCCACTACGTTTCCCTTAAATCTCTCTCTGTTTATCTTGTTTACAAACGGATTTTTGCAAAATGTACTGATAATATACCATCAACACTGAATTGGAGAGCAGTGCGGCGAGTCAATCTGTAAACATATGAAGGCAGGTTTTGTAACTGCATAACTCACACTAACCCACCACAACAATCGTGCAACCAGAATTTGTAGGTCAACTGCTAGAATTCCATAGGTACCCTATTAGATAGTCGAAGGTAAGGTTGTAAACTTCTTACATTGGTCCTTCATCTTTTTCTCACTGGTGACTTTTGCATCTCTTTCTTACCTGTATTTAGGAATATGTATAATAAAAGTATGCTTAGTTGATTCAAATCACTCGGAGGACACTACTACGCTACTGTGAGTCACAAATTAGTCATACTCTGTGCTAATTAAAGCAGCGATTAGGAGCTACGTAAAAATTCCACAGGAATAATCTTACCCTTCACGATAATCATTGTACCACTATCTGGATATTGATCCCTAAAACGCGTCTTAGTACTTTAAGCTCCTGTCATTTAGAAAATTTTTCCAGAAAGACGAACACTGACACACGTCAGCTGATATTTATTTCATAAGCATTCTACCCAAAATGTCAATAAATATTGGAGTATGGCAGAAACTTTCAAAGGTAAAGCTATCACTAAGGAATAAATCCCACATTAGACAGTAACCTGTTTCCGAAAGTAGTGCAGCTTTTGGCTGCAGCCTCTAAAACAAGGAGGCAGATTGCAGCACTGAAGATTGACTGTTTCAGTGATACAAGTTTGCAATGATTCTAACATATCTGTCAAACATGCCGAACGGAACCAGCACCACTAGGTACAATTGCATGGTCTATTTGTCCGTTGAAGAAACAGTGAATTAGTAGTGTCTTATTGCTACTCTGTTTTGTCTTTATCTATGGATACCTACATTAATTTTATAATGTAAATTTACAAGGTACGTTTCATTATCGTTCTTCTCTTATGATTACTATGTAAGCTTCTGATTCTGTCCCTTAATCCCTTGCTTCCTACTTACTTTCTAATTTGTCTCCTATTTCTTTCATGGCTACTGATGAAAGCTATCGTTAACTAACCCCTGAATATAAACTGCCACCTAATCTATGTTGTTTGACTGACCTGTATTAAGCGAATGGAAACATTTGCCATACCATAAAACATTCTTATGACCCTGAACCGTTCATCAAAATCAAGAAGCAACAGGCGAAAAAGTAGTACTTCTCCAAAACCGTCAAATTAATAATGGGCAAGATATGTCACAATTAATTCAAAGATTCTGGTGATGACTATTATTCGCTAATTCTTCCTCAACATCTAAACGTACTATGGTGGCTGAAAATGAACTTTACGCGAGTACAATAGAAGAAAGTATAATGCCTTCTGATGCATTACAACCGAACACAATACACCTAACCATACAGACAAGATAAGATGGTGCTTATCAAAACTGATTCTCATTTTCCAACACAAATCACACTAAAATGAGGAAAAAACAAAACGGTACCCACTGGATTATAATACGACAAACCGAGACTTTCGAGAATAGGAATCACCACATCTTTCCTCCATGTTGTGGGATTACAGGCACCCCCTAGGAAGACTGCGAACATCAGAATAAATGAACCTACAGTCATACCGGTCCATTCCAAAGCCTGCTTGTCGGGAAGTTAGAAGATTACTATCCAATGTGCAGGCTGCATACAAAACTACATCCAAGAGACCGATTTGTGTTTTTGCACTACGAAAAATTCCTGATATCCCAATTACCTCTGTATAAACTATAGAAAAATAATACTCCAAAGAATACCTGGGTGGTTCGGTAGCGGTAAATTAAAAAAGTGAAAGACTTCTGAAATGTCGTTAGATAAACAATTTTTCGACAGCTGTATTAAATTTCCCAGCATCATAATGAAAATCAGCATACGCGAGGTGTGGTGTTTCTCCACAGCGAGGCATAAGTCAGTCAACATATGCCACAATGAAGAAGACCAACACCAGATTTCTTAAGGTCATGCTGGCTTCCGAATGGGTTTCAAGGCCACCCGACACCCAATAACTTCCGATGGGCTCGTAAAACATTATCAATTTTTCGACACTCTCTACTTATAGTAGCAATTCTGTTTTTCATGTATAATTTATTCCCTTGACTAATGCGGCTCTACCGAACACAAAAGAGTTGGTAGGTAAAAGTATTTTGTCTGCAAAGTATGTTTTGCAATGCTGCAACAGATAAGTTTATTTGATGTAACAAACAGTGTCACAGTATTGCCAACTGTATGAGGTTTTGAGCACAATTTATTGCTCATAAAGTTATTAAGTGGGGTTTTAAGTGGAACTGTGGTGCTTCTGGGTATGGATATATTTCGTCAAACAATTTTATCAGCCATCAGTGAATTTCTTAGAAGGAAAACTCTGATGGAAAGGAAGTTAGACCACACCATTGTAACTGTCCTGCGATGAGTGGCTGTGTCTGAAGAGTATCGCGCTGACCTTCCAATAAATGTCAGATTCGGTGACTTAATTTGTTCGCTCATAGTCCTGCCATAATCGTTAGTGTACAGTTCCTGCTTTTCAAAATCGACCATGTCACCGTTGGCACTTTTGACCAGTGACAGTGAATTCCTTAGCGTGACATTTTAGGAATAACGGCTCAGTAGAGTTAAGTGCTTCCAGTTATAGCCCTCTATACATTTCTCACAGCTGCATGAAAAGTTAAAGTATAAGTACGCTTAGCTGCTTGCGCAAGTGGTAAAATGCTTTAGTGCCTTTATCAGCGAAGTCGGTGTCTTCACCCAATTACACGGTCATTAGTCGCTTGAGGTAGTTTTCGTATGGGATAGTCTGGTTTCACATAAATGGTAGGAGATTCTTATTCCTACCGCTAAATGGATGAACACTCACCCTTGTTAAAATTAAGTCTCTTCCTCAGCCCGTTCAGGTCTCTCGTCAACTTAATTTGTTCTTCTTAATATATTCATTCTCACTTTAACGTCATCTGTGTACTGGAATGCTAAAAAACTTGCGTAATTCGGTATATTATATATGAAAATCAAGAACAATAATGGACTGGCAGTTGCTCCTTTGACACTTCAGTGAATCTTGTCCTTCATATGGAGCTCACTTGGCTCAACTACGGGCAAAATTCGAGTCCTTCAAATAGGCTATGATCCAAAACAGCAATGGGTCGCCAGCCTCCATTTGGGTGACTTCTCAAAATAGAAGCACAGAGGGAAAAGCTTCCACAAGATCCAGAAACAGAATATGGATTTGAATCTTCTGGCCCTAAAATGTTATGCAGTTAGTTCAAGCCTTCCTCAGACTGGTATTGTGCGTCGGTGACGTGGAGGTTAGTACTCTCATCGACCATGCACGTTGTCCGGGGTTTGATCCTTTGCCGACGCATACCCGATATCAATGGTCAGCCTGCCAAATTCGGCTACCGATATCACCGATATCCATACTTGTACCAAAAATACGGTGTGGAATAAAGCTATAATTAAAAAATTTCTCCTGAAACCACGTTGAGCTTCATGCAGATTATCGACCTTTTTAGATATCCCCCTGTGTGATTCTCTATCAAGCTTGACAGCTGAAGATATCGACCTATAGAATTGTGTATCCTATTGATCCCTTGCTTAAAGATAAGAGAAACTGTAGTCCGTTTCTAATTTCTCGGTGACCGATATCGATCGGTGAAAGTTTAATCAGCTTAACTTGTTTGGACCCAGAGTTTCTGCATATATAGATACTGGTGTGGTATCTTCGCATTCTAGAAACTTTGGGGGCGGAAGCTTGATAATCTCGTCAGAATCATACTCGGTGTCATTTGTACAGCAGTAATTCCTATGATATTTCATTGAGCTGTGAGTTGTCAAGGAGTAATTTTACGGTTCGCATTCCCTTTTTTGAACTATCTCAAGAATGACTGTTGGAGGCTTCAGTTATCCCAAGATTGCACTGTTTCCTGAATGCGTTTTTTTACAACGCACTCACTAGTTGGTACTTGTCCTCGTGCCAGGAATCGACAAATACACTTGGGGTTATCTCTCGTGGCAATCTTGACAACACTGTCCACCGAATCTCTGCACTCATTTACTGCCAGTGAGCAGTAAATTTTCTGCCGGAACGATGACAACATAACTTATCCCATCAACGTATAGATCAATTTAATTGGTCAGGCCTACGCCAAAGTTTGATCCTCAGTTAACTAACTCTCAATAACTAGGCCTAACAACTCTACTACGTGGTGTCTGTCGGCTAATGGTGTTCATGTTCGCACATTTTCTTTAACCAAGTGGTCATCAGTTGGAAGATGTGAACGAAGAATATTCTTTCCAATTATTTCCCCCCTTCATGTTCTTACAATTATAAAATAAAATATTTGTTGTCGTTACGATAATAGTCAGTTATGTGGCGGATACATTTTTTACGTAGAATAACAGATTAGTTATAGGATGTCAAAATAAATAGTAGCATTTGTGTGACAAACGTGCTAGGCTGAAATCGACTACGAAATATTGTAAAGTGGGAGACAATGGTGGTGATTAGTCATAATAGATTTGTAGAGTGTGGGGTAGGAAAATTGACAAGTCAATCTGAACATATTCAAACGCTTATTATTGCAATAATAATAACTGTCATTCCTCGTTATAATTTATACCGTTCATTCGAGCATTTTCTCAATACTATCGAATTTTTCATTTATACTATCCGGACTTATTATTAGTAATACTATCTCTTTGCTCAATATATGCCTTCACCTGTTTCATTTCACACATTCGTTATTTCCTTATCAACCTCTCATTGCAGTCTTGTTATCTCCTGTTTAATACATACCACTTTGTATATATATATATATCCTACTGTATAGCTAACATAAGTTCACTGTGAGTTGTGCAACCGTAAAACGTTACAAAGACAGGGAAAGAACGACTATTCGTGATTACACTTGTTTATTTGCATCCAATAAAAATAACATTAAAAACTCAAAATTAATTCAAAATTAGCCAGCTATTCACCTTTAGAAACCGATTTTGCAGTCAGAACGATTACTCAAATTACCAACCGACGACCTGTAATTTTCTCACAAATTTGGACTTGCAAATTTATTCTGAGATCTGAAAGGAGGAAAGTGAAACCAAGTGTAGGTGTGTTGTTTGCCTGATGGTATCTGCAAAAAATAAACCTTATTGTCCTCACCTCACAGAAGAAATTCACACAATATGTTTTATCCTATACCTGAGGGTTGACCGGTCTTTTAAAGCCGAGAGGCACCAAGAATGTCACAGATTATTTATTCGTAGAATGTAAAGTTTCGAAATACATGGTTTAAGCTGTCTCAGGTATGCTATTTCGGTCTTAATCGATAACTATTAAGGCTACAGACGACAAAATGTCACAATATAGCTCCTGCTAACTTTCTAATACAAAAATGCAATCAATAAAGTTCGAAGGATTTTGCAGTATTGGGCCAGTCACCCGTGAAAAGCTTTGATATGCATATACGAAAAGGTAAAAATGCAGTAAGAATACTGAATACATGAAGATGCGTGAGAAGAAAGTCAATTATTCCAGTTATTCTTTGTTATCATTCAAATGAGTGCAGTTGTACTAGTGATTTCCACGTTTATCAGAAAAGCAGTTTCCAAGGCATTCGCATATCCAGACACTGTTGGTATGGTAAGAAGGTTGGAGGAGTTTTCTATTTAGGACAGTTCTTGTCACTGTCAATGTTTCCAGTACAAATTTAGAAGTCCTTTTTATGTCCTCCTCTCACTACTATTCAGGTAGCATAAGCTGAAACAAAACAGTTTAGTGAATGAGTAGGTAAATAAATAGGTTTTTCTGTTGCACCATTACTGTACTACTTCTCCAATGACAGCTAATATGCTTGCGCAAGACTGTTGTGTTGTGGCAACAAACGTGCCTTCCCTAAGGCTATTTTGAAATAGTAGTTTTGCATATAACAGTAATAAGTATACGTTTGCACCAGTACTAATTCGTAGGTAGGCATCCTATAGTCCACCACAATTGTTCAAAACCATACTGTACACATTTAAAGTATGGTGTATTAAAGTGAATAAATGTGTAGAATTTCAGTTAAAATCGACATATTTGGATACAGCTAACAACAGGAAATGAACACGGAACTGGGAATCCTGGGTAGAGATCGATGTGATCTAAACAGAGTTTCATACTAAATTGAGACAACGTATGAAGCAAAACATCTGACAGGTTAATTAGCACACTGCATTCTTGTTTACATAAGAGCTATGAATATGTAACGCCTCTCTTTGTAAAAGACACCAAATCCTGTACTTATTGTGGTCGTCATGCTTAATACACATGCAATAATAAATTGAATATGAAATTTTTTATTACTACAACATGGGTAAAACTCACCTTGAGTTTCATGAACCTAGTCACATTCACCTCATCTATAGTGTAAAGTTTTCTTCTTTTGTTTTGTTTCTTCCTTTGAAGCACACTCCAAGATGCTTGATTATGGGGAGAAAAGGGTGAATTTGGCTTGTACTTACAGGGGTTTGGCCTGCTTACGAGAAAAACCGACTCATACAGCCGTGCAGTGAGAGTGACATGTATCAACCATGTCTATTCATAAGGTTCAGGATCATATAATTCGTCAGTAGGTGCAGTTTCAGTCTTTTGTTAATTAACACTTACAGAGTAACGATGTAAACTGGTTTCAAAAAAATAATAACTATCTTCTGTCTTTTTTCAACGTATGAA